CCGTTTCAGGGGCGAAGCTGATGAGAGGCGGTGGGCACCGAGTGCCCTGCGGGGACTGCGGCAGACATGGGACAGACACGTGCATCTCCAGGACAGCTGGACAAGTGCTCGGAGGGCCGCTGAGCCCGTGCTCCGGCGGCACGTGGGGCTGCGGGGCCCCTGCTCCAGAGACGCCCTCTCTGCTGGGGAGGGACGGAGCCACTGCACTCGTCAGAGCTTAATCCAGTTCCTGAAGCCAGGTGCAGGTGGTGGTGCTATTCTGGTCTTGCTGTTTGTTGTTGGGGGGCAGTTTCACCCTCGCAGGAGACATGGGACAGACACGTGCATCTCCAGGACAGCTGGACAAGTGCACGGAGGGCCGCTGAGCCCGTGCTCCTGAGCCACCTGTCGGCGGCACGTGGGGCTGCGGGGCCCCTGCTCCAGAGACGCCCTCTCTGCTGGGGAGGGATGGAGCCACTGCACTCGTCAGAGCTTAATCCAGTTCCTGAAGCCAGGTGCAGGTGGTGGTGCTATTCTGGTCTTGCTGTTTGTTGTTGGGGGGCAGTTTCACCCTCGCAGGCCTCAGATTCGCGAAGTCCACCCTAACCAGAGATCCAGGGCGACCTGCCCACTTGGGGTGCCCTCAGGATGTGGGAAGCCCAGCACACACTCAAGGTTCTAAGACTCGCAGAGAGCAAACCAACCTTGGTGTGTGTCCCGAGGATGAGTGGCCACAGAAGCCCTCACTTCTGTCACACCACGCCCCAGAGAGCAGTGTGAGGGAATGCCACCACCTTCCCCTAAATAAAATCACTTCCTTGGTGAGACAGGAATTTCCTGCCGCTCGCTGGCTTGCTGTGAGACTCACAATACAGCTTTAATCATTCCTGTGAATAAATTGCTCATTTTTGTTTGTTCAGAACATTGCCATCCCTTCACTATATACTGCACCAAAAAGAAAACAGCAAAATTCACCCACACCCCACCCACCTGCCCCATTACTATTATTTTATTATTTACAGTATTGGTGACAGGACTCATCCACTGCTCTCTGAGGGACACGGCTCAAGCTCCAACAGAGAGGCTGGGAAGTGTCTGGGAATGAGAAGCAGGCTTGGACGTTAATCAGCAAGGAGCAGAACATGGCAAACTTCCGGCCTCCGGGGGAGGAAGCAAGGCTGTCCCTGCTGTCACATGTGGCAGTCATGAAGGTGCCACTGGGGCTGAACTTCCCCTGGATGTGAGAGTGTGAAATGCCAGGTGCTGCGACCCCTCGATGTGTGCATGTCACTGTAATGTGTTGAGGGAGCCCTAGGAGGGGCCTGGTGTGTCCCTTGCCCTATCCAAGGCAGACATCACTAATCGATCACAGCACCCGCCATGCTCAGCTTGCGGAGCACATTCTGGGGTTAAAGGCAGCTGCTACCAAGAAGCTGCACCAGGCTGAGGGTGGGGATGTTTTTGCCACATTTTACATTGAGCAATGTGCTGAGATCACTCCAAGTGAGGAGGCTGATACTGGTGTGTGGGGGTCACAGACTGTGTGGGTTACATGAAGAGTCCAGAGCTCCCCCAAAGCCAGTGCTGTCAGGGTTTGCTAACAGGTAGCTGGACACTCTCGGTCCATATAAAACTTCATGAGGACCAAGGCTATGAGTTGCTCAATGTTCTCTCTGCAAGGCCTACACAAGGGCCTAGAATATAGTAGATGCTTAATAAATACCCATGGGCTCTAAAGCAACAGCTACTTTGCTTTCTCCAAAACTGGCTCTATTAGTTAAGAATTCCCTTAAAAGGGTCTCATCTATCAGGCTGCTAATCCTGGTGAAAAAAACTGCTACATTCAGTGCTCTCTGAAGGGGGGAAAAAAAAAATCACATTTCTTTAGTGCAGGGGGTGTTCAGGTCGACTGAAACTGGTTTGGAATTCATCCCCCAGGAAGGCGCTTTCCAAGCATGAGAGCAACCTATTTCCTTCCAGCAGAGTCTCGAGAAGGGTGGCATCTGTGCAGGTCACCAGGACCGTACCACTGATGCAAGAGGTTGGCACGGAGATGAACACCAGGCCCCAAGAAGCTGCAGCAAAGCAGGAACCATAGATTTCTTCCGGGAGGTCACCAGCATGCTGCTTCCGCAGAAAGAAATCTATACGGAGACCGTGTTTAAATAACTATAAATAATATTCATTAGACTTCGTGGGATTCACCAGGACACAGGAAAGCAGACAGAAAGCCCGACACGGACACCCCATCCCGTCCTCATTTTTAAATAATTCTCACCATGCTGCTCGCAGCATCTTCCCCCAAAGAAATATTAATTTACAAAATAACCCAATATCCATAGAATTCTTTTGACAAATAAAAAAACTCTTAAATTAAAAAGCACGACTTCCGCCCCCCCCCCGCCCCTGCCCGCCCCGCCCTTCATTCCAGTTTCAGGTAGCTGGGCACTGAGTAATTGAACATTAAAAAATCGAGTTTGTAGACTTCGTAGAGCTGCGTCTGGTGCTCGGAGCTGATGTTCTGGAAGAACTCCGTGGTCATCTCGTCAGTAGTTCGCGTGGACTTGGCGTAGGTGGGGAACTTCAGGGAGCCGCTCACGCCCGCCAGCTGCAGGACGTAATTGGAGTCCTCCTCCAGCGTCTCGTACTTGCCCACAAGGTCGTAGCGGATGTGGCACGGGTGGCACAGGGAGTAGACCGTCTGCCAGTGCTCGTTGAAGGGCTCCTCGCGCTGCGTGTGCGGGTCGATGAGGTAGGCCACGAACTCCTCGAACTTGACGTCGTGGCCCTTGCGCAGCGCCTCCTGCGTGGCGTTCTTGCGCTGGCGCCGGATGATCTTGGTGCCGTAGCGCTTGTGGAAGGACGTGTTGTACTTCTGCGTGAACTTGTTGCGGTAGGCCGACACCAGCCGCTCGAAGGGCTCGCGCACGAACAGGAACTTCATGTAGCTCTTCAAGCGGTGGTTGATCTCGGGGATGCTGTACTGGTTGAGGGTCTTCAGGTTGGCCGAGACGTGCGCCTCGCTGGCCGGGATCTCCATGGGGTCGCTGTACTTGCCGCGCCCCGTCAGCACCATCATGAGCCGCTTCCAGTTGGTGCAGGCCACCTTGGGGACGTAGCAGTAGATGAGCTCGTGGTCCTCGTCCACCACCAGGTGCTTCAGGTCGCTGGGCGTCAGCCCCCGCCGCTTGCGGCTCGCGGCGCTGCTGGCCCGGCAGGTGTCGCTCACCTGGTCCCGCCGCATCTGGTGCAGGACGGCGGTGTTGGACAGCTCCAGCTGCAGGGGCACAGAGGGGCGAGGGTCAGTGCTGGGGAGGCGCGCGCCCCTCGGAACCCGACTTTCTCCCCAGAGGCCTCACACCGCCATCCGCATCCGCCCTCCCGCACCTCGGCCCGCTCCGCGGCCACCTTGGTCTCTGGAACCTGCACGGAGCGGTGACCTCACCGTGGCCTCAGTGCCCCACCCGTGCTGTGAGGGTCTTTTAAAGGAAAGGAACAGATGTGAACTGGGGTGAAAGTCGTGGAGAAACTAGAGGTGCCGGGGCTGCGCCGTCCTGGTTCCCTTCCTGCACAAGAACACGGTCCCATCCCTGTACCCACCGTCATGGTTCAGATCGAAAGGGGCCCCTGGAGGCTCGTGCGTTCAGAGCGGGGCTTTTGAAAGGTGACGGGATCATGGGGTGCTACTCATCTGGGGGCTCATCCGCCACGGCTTTCCAGCCTGACGCACTGGCAGGAGGTGGGGCTGGGGTGGAGCCCTCACTCCCGCTCCTCCCTGCCTTCCCTCTGCTTCCTGGGCGCCAAGGGTCAAGCCGCTTTCCTCCACCAGGCCCTTCCTCCAAGCCATGGACCGCGGACTGCCGCTTTCTTTAACTCACACTTCCTCCCAGCCGCGGGAAGGCTGACCACGCGGCCGTCTTCTGGCGTTCTCACGGTCTGCCAACACTCTGCTTTTCCAGCCTCACCCTCACCCCTTCATTATAAAGGCTCTGGGGAAACCAATCATTCACTCTTCCCTTCGTGGGTGGGGGGACCCTCCCCTCTCCACCTCTTCAGGTACAAGGTGAGGACCCTTCAGGGCCACACACTTTCCTGCGGCCGAGTAGAAGAATGGAGCCTTCCCCTGAAGGGCACCGCCCACCACATCACCTGGAGCAACTGCCCTACCTGGAGGCCACTGGTCCACAAGGACTCAGGAGCCACAGCCACCCGCACAGCCGGACGGGTGGCCTTGGGGTGTAGGACGGCTAACGGGGGACCCAGGAAGCTCCCCCTGTGCCCGGCCTGCACAAGCATGGGGCACCGCACCGGGGGCCCACAGGAGCTGGCACCGCAGGATTCCCAGCAACACTGCGCCCTGCATCAGAGCTCTGTGCCCATCTCACTCGTGGCCCCTGGGATGACAGCAGTGTGAGGGTGCAGCAGTGACCAGGGCAGCAACAGAAGATGTGAGCACCGGCCCTGGAGCCCACCGTCTGATGTCCCCGTGGTCTCCTCGGCACTGCCGCGTGGACAGACTCGCAGTGCAGAGCGATGCTTCACAGGTCTCCGTGGGACAGGAGGCACCTCTCACTCCTTAGCCTCACACAGGGTTGGTGGCGGAGGAGGGAGCTGCTGGTCCCCCCACACCTGCACCCCTCTGCAGTGTGGGTCTCCCTAGCCCCTCAGTGTGGGCCACGTCTGGCTCACCAGCAGTGGTGGAAAAAGCAGCGACCACCAAAGTCTGTGGCCAGCGTGAAGCCCACATCCCCACCCTTCCTCCCCTGTTCTGCCCCCCGAGGCAGGGGGCCATGGAAAAGCCCCAGCTGCTGCCAGCCACACAGGGACCGCAGCTCCGGGCACAGTCCCAGGGGAGATGGCCCGCCAGCCACCCACAGCACCCCACACAGTGGCTTGTGGCTGCTTTGTGCCACTGAGTTTTGGGGTGGTCTGTGACCTAGCAGTAGAGAGGAGGGGCAGGCGGCCGGGCTCCAGAGAACCAGGGCACCGTGCACAGGCCGAGTGCCTCTAACCCAAAATGCTCTAAAATCAAACATTTCTGAGCTGCAACTTGACATTGCAGGTGGAAAATTCCACACCTGACCTGACGTGGGCGGTCACTGTCCAGCCACAAACTGGAAACGCTGCATGAAATGCCCTTCAGCTGTGGACAGGTGTGCAGCAAACGTGAACGACTGGAGTCCCATCCCAGGACAGCTCCTGACATACACGCAAATGCTCCAAAATCCCACCCGCAAAATCCTGAATCCCAAACACTCCTGGTTCTAAGCGATGCGGATAAGGAGTGTCCACCTTTGCACCTTGAGATTCTGCTTGGTAAAACTGGTTGGCCTGGGAGAATTTCCCAAACTGAGAATACCTGGCAAATGACAGACTTGGCTACCCACAGGCCGACACCACCGAGGTGAGCTTGTCCTCCCGTGGCGACAGCGAGGGGCTGGCGTGTGCAGAGACCCACGTGCGGGTCCCGCAGCCTCAGTTTCCAGAATGGCCTGGCCGGGAAGACCCTGCAGCCAGCCTCCCTTCCGGCCTCCCTCCCTGGCCCTGTCCGCCTGCTAGGAAGGAGCAGCTCTGACACCGGGCGGGGCCTGGAGCCTGGGTGTCAGGCGGTGGCCATGCGCTCTGATCTGAGTCACAGAGGCTCTGCCTGCCGAGGGTAGCGCTTGGGCCCTGGGTGAGATCGGGCCACAGAGGCAGCACCCGGTGGTCCAGGGCCCTGCAGTGCCACTGTCGCTGTCCAAGGATTGGGGCACTGTGCGCACACAGAGGCAAGGCCAGCGCTGAGCCTTCCGCGCCCTCACGTCGCCCCGTGTCCCACAGTGGCTGTGCTCCCTGTGCCAGATGCTAGGTGCTTATGTCGGCAACTCACTTCCTGCAAGCAGTAACCCAGGTGTAGACACAGCTGGCCCAACTTCCACAAGCAGGGAGCTGTCGGACCTGCCCACGCTGAGTCACCACACCCAAGGGGCCTCAGCAACCCACTGTGCCATGGGAAACAGGCCCAGATGGGGGGCTTCTGTGACGGCAGAGGCAGGACTGGCGCCAGGCCTCACGCATTTGAGATCTCGCCGGCAAATTTGAACACCGTGAAGCAAAGGGGCCCGCTTTCCAGAGCTCAAGCTCCAGGGCCTGCACAAGGACGCACACAGCAGCTGCTCAATAAGCCTTGTTCAGAGAATGCACGGATGAGTTAAGAGTGTGGGAGGAAGGAGGGGAGCCCTCCTGATGTAGCAGTGGTCACAGGCAGCAGAAAGCTCTTGGCGAGCGCCACGCAGACTGACCAGAGTCCCTGAAACTCCATGCTCACCCAGACGCCCGATGGCGGCCTTCGTCGGAAAGGGGTCTGTGCAGAGGCCGCTAGTTACCGTGAGGTCCTGCTGGGCTGGGGGGCCCTGCACCCAGAGATGGTGTCCTGGTAAGAAGAGAAAGCAGGGCCACAAGGAGACACGCTGTCGCCAAGCACTCCGCAACCACAGGAGAGAGAAAAGGCCAGGAGTCTCCGGACACATTCTGCCAGCACCGTAGGTCTGCTGCGGTCGGCCCTTGCCACTGGATTAATACTTACTTCAAGCAGAAGAACTATCCCGCACAGTCCCTGGCTCTACAGCAGACCTACGTCACCTGAGGGGAGAGTCCGGGCTTCTCGGGTTTCTAAGCCACACCACTGAGAGAGCAGGAAAGAGCCGCCCAGGGGAAGCCACGGACAGCAATGCAATCGGCCGCCAGGCGATCCTGAGGCTGGCGCGCCTGAACTTGCGAGGAACAGGGACCTCAGCTTCCTTTCGCTCCCAGCTTTTTCAGTCTGGGACTCTTCTGGACACCTGAGTCCCAGGAAGGTGCCGGTGTCATGTAATACTGCAGCCAGGCCACTCAGGCAGGAGCCGGAAACAACAGCCCCCGGCATCCTCTGCTCACTTGCAGAAGCAGAAAAGCTGACTGGAAAACCCCTGACCTCTGGGATGTGGCATCTGGGCTTCTCTTCAGTTCTCTTCGCTCTTCCATGGCAGTGCAGGAGGATCCTGGTGTGTCTGCCAGTGCTAACATCTGGGCTTCTCTCTCTTCAGTTCTCTTCGCTCTTCCATGGCAGTGCAGGAGGATCCTGGTGTGTCTGCCAGTGCTGGTCTTGAACTTGTGATCTTCCTGCCTCAGCCTCCCGAGTAGGTGGGATGACAGGTGTGGACCACAACACCCAGCTGAAGCGTTCAGTTTTAAAAAGACAAACTAATTTATTTTCTTAAATTTTATTTAGAAATAATTTCAGAGTAGTGTTGACTGAATAATTACAAGTATAACAAAAATGTTTCTAACACAATTTCGACGGCACACAGAAGCACTCGGCTCGCTCCTGGGCCCACAGGTGCTGCCAGGACCCCAAGCACCCCTGCAGGCTCCTGGGATCGCTTCCTGCAGGGCCCAGCGCCCCACGCAAACACCTTGCCTTTTACTTCCTTTCCCATAGGCACATTCTGAGGTGGGGGATTCCACAGAGGTATGGGGGGGCACGCTAATGCCGCGGCCGGGGACCACACATTGAGAACCAGAGCCTGCCCGCAGGGCAATGACTGTGATCTAGGACCTTCACCACTTCACAGCTCGCTTAATTACAGAACACAAGCGGCTCTCTGCCATCTGCCGCGGGGGCGGGGAGCGCCCCACGGCCTCCTCTGAGGTCAGGGCGGAATGGGGCTCCACTATGCCCTGGCCTTCTACTTTGGACATATTTAAAGGCAACAATCATCAGTTTTAAGTACCAAATTCAAAGATTGTTTGAAAAAGTCTTTAAAATCTTACTAGGTTGCATCTCAAAAGGGAGAGCTGGTTTCCTGTCGATTTAAACATCATCTGTGACGTCGCCAATCTGCCGGGACACAGGCCCCACCTGGAAGGAATCCCAAAGGGCTGGCAGAGGTGGAGCAGACGCCTGAGGGCCTGGGTTGTCGCCTTCTGCTTCTGACAGCTGCCTCCCTCCAGCCCCGCTCGTTTCTCCACTGGGAAATCCAAATATAAACTCCCAGTATTTCCACTGCCCTGATCACCCGGGATCTCAGAGGTGCAGGCCAGGCGGAGAACACGATGAGCTGATTTGCTCCATTACCTTCCTCCCTCCCGCCCTTTCTTGGTGGTGCCAGGAACTGAACCCAGGGCCTTTGCACTGGGCTACATCCCAACCTTTTAAAAACATTTTGCACTGGGCCTTGGGAAGGGGCTGCCCAGGATGAACTTGAACTTGCAGTCCCCGGGCTTCGGCTCTCAGTTCCAAAACTCACGAAAACGGTC